CCTAAACCCTCAACGCCCCAAGCCCTAAGCCCTGAATCTTAGGAAGCCCACGTAATATAGGGGCCTACATAATTACCTATCTGATTCTTGTGGGGCTTCTTAATATAGTTATATAGTATAATATGCCCCAAAAACCTATTCTAATTATTAAGGCCCCTCCTTATAGAACCCCTTATAGCAACCCCTATAGGACCCTTTCAAAGGAGCCCTCTACAATAATTAGGGCCCCTACATGAGGTTGATCCCGTGCTTCTTCCGACGTCCAACACGATCATGGATAGGAAGGCCGGAGGGAGAGTTCGGTTAGGGTTTAGACTTTGGGTTTAGGGTTATAGACTTTTAGGGTTTAGGGTTTAGGGTTTAGCCTTATAGGGTTTAGGGTTTAGACATTGGGTTTAGGGTTATAGGGTTTAGGGTTTAGGGTTTAGGGTTTAGACTTTTAGGGTTTAGGGTTTAGGGTTTAGACTTACAGGTTTAGGGTTTAGGGTTTAGACTTGTAGGGTTTTGGGTTTAGACTTATGGGGCTTTGGGTATAGGGTTCAGACTTATGGGGTTTAGGGTTTAGACCGTTTAAACTTTTAGGGTTTAGACATATGGGGCTTAGGATTTAGGGTTTAGACTTCGGGTTTCGGGTTTAGGGTTTAGACTATGGGGCTTAGGGTTTAGGGTTTAGACTTACAGGTTTAGGGTTTAGGTTTAGACTTATAGGGTTTGGGGTTTAGACTTATGGGGTTTAGGATTTAGGGTTAGACTTAGGGTTTAGGGTTTAGACTTATAGGCTTTAGGGTTTAGACTTGTAGGGCTTAGGGTTTAGGGTTTAGACTTATAGGGTTTAGTGTTTAGGGTTTAGACTTATGGGGCTTAGGGTTTGGGGCGTAGACTTATGGGGTTTAGGCTTTAGACATATAGGGTTTAGGCTGCAGGGTGGGATTGCACAAAGCAGACTCGGGGCTTCAAGCGTTCAGGGTGTAACGCAGAGGGCGATATGATATACCAAGGGTTCAATATAGGGGCCTTAATAATTAGAACAGGGTTTGGGGGTAGAGTAGTCTAGAATCTAATAAGGAACCCCCCAAGACTCTATTAAAAGTAGAGTATTATTTAGGCCCCTACATTGGACAAGTTGTGAAAGGATTTCTTGCAAGGTTTCCGGCTTGCAAGCGGCTCACCAGGACTCGGTTTAGGGTTTAGGGTTCGGCGGTGTGTACCCTAATACGGGTCCATGTACCCAAGTAGTATATACTCTGCCTTTAAAGTAGTCCCTATTGGTGTACTTTGGGCCCACTATATATTACTATTTGGGTACATGGACCGTCCAACCCCAATGCTCCAGGCAATCTAGAATAAAGCCCTGGAGCTAGGCTCGTTTCATGGCTTCTTGAAAGGATTCCCTGCCCTAAGGGTCCTAACACTATCGGGCACCTTAAAAAGCACCATCTCTGAGACCCCAAAGAGACCCAAGGGCTCTCCCTGGGAGATTCCGGACCCTATGCTCACCCCAAACCCTAAAACCCTTAAGCCCTTAAGCCCAAAGGCACTAGAAGTTTTCAGCCCGGGAACCCGAAAGTCCTCAAGAACGAAGCCGCTACAGTCGAGCGCGACAGCCCCCGCCGCCCTCAGAAAAGTTCGCTTAGGGTTTAAGTTTAAGGTATAGGGTGTCGGGGTTCAGGGCAGTCAGGACAATCACAAGCAGACTCGGGATACTTGCCATCTTCATCGTCATCTTCATGTTCTTCTGCATCATTGGCAGCGAACGAATGATGGAACCTCGAATATCTGAAGGCATTGAATTCTACATCTCAAGCTGTCCCATACTAGGCACCGCAGAGCCCTGTAAGGGTAAAGCCCCCACGGGCAGGTAATCGAGAGACACATCATGTCCAATGATGATGACCCCTTCAACCGGATGCCGCTGGGAGTCAAGGTCGTGCCGGCTTGGGGATTTCCATGCACAGAAGGCTCCTATAAGAGTTCCATAGTATACTCAGCCCCTAAACCCTTAACCCATTTGGTCCATGAGGGAAACTGTGCTAGTCACAGCTAGTCCTTGTTGCAAGGGCTTGTGTAAGTGGTGTTCAATATCTATGAGTGCCGCGGTCGGTACCACGTGTGATACGAAGGGATCAGGATTCTGTACATGCCCGATGGCCCTTTTTCGGCTCTGCATCCAGACACCATGTCCCTCTCAAACATATGGGCAGTTCTCTAAATTAGGGCCCTTTTAAATTTTTAAGTCCCAAATAGTACGGCACCGTTGTAAAAAGGACCCTAACCAGGACCCTAATTTAGAGAACTACCCTAAATCCCGAAAATTCCCCTAAACCCTAAACCCTATAATACCCTCAATCCTAAGCCGTAAATCCCTATAGAACATTCCTTAAGACACGATATCTTCCTTAGTTCAGGCGCTTCGGCGTCTCTGATTAGAAAACCGTGAACTTCCTGTAGGAAACAGCAGGGGCCTCATAATCAGTAGAAACCCGTGTTGGGATACACCATAGTAGAATTCTAATAAGGAGTCCCAAAAGTCATATAGGTAGCTATCCCTAGACCCTAAGCCCTCACAACTTTACATGGGAATAGGGTTCTAATAAGGAGTCCCCAAAATAATATAGGTAGTTAGTAAGGCCCAAAAAAAAACGCAAACCCTCACTCTGGAAGCTCCCCCCTCACAGCTCCGATGTCGGTTCATCTGACTGTGGCCCTTGCCACTGGTCTCTCCAGCACCATTTTGTTTGCCGGGTGGTATTGTAGGGACCTTGATGAGTAGAATAGGGTTTGGGGGCCCATTATACTATAGTAATTAGAAGAAGGAGCCCCGAAAACCCCATTCTAACTATTAAGGCCCCTAGATTAGGATGATCGGGCTACAGGGTTGGAGAGACTAGGCTGTCCAGTTCTTCAATCGCAGCCCGCGATGTTTGAACCCCAAGCCCTAAACCCTAAATAAACCCCACAATCATAATCCCTAATCCCCCAAACCCATGAGCCCTACAACAAAAAAGGCCAGTGGCAGACATGCTGACATCGACATCAGCCATGAGGCGACGATCGAGGATTTGCGATGCCAATCCCAGGAAGAGCCATGGTCGTTGTTGTATAGCATGTTAGACAGGTTTTTGAAGGGTTTCTATTAAAAAAACAGTGTTGCTACGAGGCGTCTGTGGGTTCTCCGATAAAGTTATCTTCAGTCTCTTTGTGGGTGTTTCCTCATTAGAAACTGAATAGTAGAACAGGGTGTACTACAGAAGCCTGAGTAACGAGTAATGGTCTTCCGGTATTCCTTATGGTCCTCGTCATGGGAACAGGAATCATAGGACCTCAAGTTTTCTTTGTGAAGGCTCCGGTATATAACCTTAAAACCCCAAACCCTGAACCTAAACCCCTAAGCCCTAAACTAAACCCTAAACCCCTAAACCCTAAACCTAAACTAAACCCTAAACCCTAAACCCTATCCCCCAAAACCCTAAACCCTGAACCCTAAACCCTTATTCTTAAAAGAGAACCAAGGCGCTGGGTGGTTCCATCCGCCAGCTCATTGGTCCAAGAGGACGTGTTTCACTATAGAGATTTAGGGGCTTGGGACCCAGGATTTAGGGTTTAGGGTTTAAGGTTTAGGGTTTAGGGTTTAGGGTTTGGGGTTTGGGGTTTAGGGTTTAGGGTTTGGGGTTTGGGTATTAGGCTTTAGACTAGAGTTTTGGGGGTTTGAAGTTTAGGGTGTTGGGAGACTATACAGATTTAGAGGCTTGGGTATTAGGCTTTAGAGTGTTGGGGGTTTGAAGTTTAGGGTTTTAGAGACTATAGAGATTTAGGGGCTTGGGTATTAGGCTTTAGAGTTTTGGGGGTTTGAAGCTTAGGGCTTTGGAGAGTGCGGGTTGAGGGCTTTACTGGGCTTGACTTCGAAAAGTGTTGTGGTCTTTGGGCCCTCTTAGCTTTATTATGCAATCCGTAGGACTTCCGTTTTTTTCAGGGCACCGAGAGCGCGGTGCAAGGAGATACGTTGCCAAAGAGTTCTTCTGTGGGCGCAGTGGGCCTTGCAGATGGAGCCGTGCTAACCGCCGTGGTGGCAGAATGCCAGGCGACGGGGGGCGAGCGAATGAGTTCCAAATCCCCAATCAGCGCGGTGTGCGTGTGTGTGTGTGTGTGTGTGTGTGCATCGTGAGAGATAGAAGCGAATTCTTGTAGATTCTGAAGTAGGTGTGGAGTCTTGGGTGGAGTTAGACAAGAGCTTGCTAAGTACGTCGTGAGAAGGGTAGCTACCTGCAAGTGTCGGCTTGTAGAAATCTACAGAATTCATTCCTCTACCCCCCAGCCGAAGCCCCAGAAGCTCAAACATTCGTAATATTGATGCGGCATATTATATCCCACGACCAGTTCTTTTTCAAGTTTTATTGCCGCAAATCCGCCTGCATGATATAGGGGGGCCTAAATAATTACCAATGCTAAATTGGGGGTTCGTCATTGTAAGGATACTACAATATACCCCGAAAACCTATTGAAACCAATAAGGCCCCTATATTAAACCCCTGACCTGCGTGCAGGTGGCAGCATCCCTGTTGGCTTTTGCATGTCTTGGAGGTGATTCTGAGCTCTCCAAAGCCAAACTATTGAGCTTTTAGGATTTAGAGTTTAGGGATTAGGGTTTAGGGACTAGGGATTAGGNNTTAGGGGTCAGGGTCCCGAGACCTAGGCTTAGGGATCAGGGCTTGCTTTGGGGTCTATCCACATGAGAATCAGAAGAAAGCCCACCAGTACCTGCTGTTCAAACCCTAAACTCTGAACACAACCCTAAATCCTAAACCCTA